TAATGAAGGTTATAGAAGCTGAGTTCAATGGAGTGCACACACTTGCCAACCTTCTTATAGAAACACCAGCCTGTATGCATAGTGTGCTGGGTTCATACTTCTTGAGGGGTACGTATTTTTTGGGTGTTTTTGCTAAAAAAAAAAAATATGATAAAGAAATGCAGCACTAAATCTGTAACCTCGAAACTTGCCCTACTGGCCTCATTGTCTCTCTTGCACTTGGAGATATTTTATGCTGGTTCTTGGGGTCAAATCCAATATAGCCAACTACTATAATATTGGTTTGTTTTGTGTCATCACAGTTTATTAAAATGCTTCTTCAGAGCTGTTGTGCGGTGAAAACATGTTAGCTCTCTACCTTTTAGGAAGAGCACACCAAAAATACTTGTTTTATTATATAATTTACGTCTCTTAGATTGTAAGCTCCAAGGAGCAGGGCCCTCCTAACCCTCTTGTATTGAACTATATTGTTGCTGTATTGTCTCCCGTTATAATGTAAAGCACTGAGCAAACTGTTGGTGCTATATAAATCCTGTATTATAATAATAATTACCGTATATTGCATCTTTGTTCTTAAAAGTCCTGCCTTTAATTAGTTTGGCTATGTAGTTTATTAGAAATGCAAACCTTTTCATCCTTAGCATGGCATTCCAACCAAACGTGGAATCAGTCTTTAAAGAGCAAAAGTACTATAGTGATAAACATAATTATATGACAGTGGATGTATAGGAGGCAAATATTGTACTTCGATCTTACAGTGAAAAATGTTTAGTGCATTTTGGAAGATTCATATATGAAATCCAATCCTTTTTGTATCCATGCTCTTTGTTGGTTGCCATGGCAGCGCTAGCAGATTAGCCTGCGGAAGAATTAGCTGTAACAAGCTGATCTGTCAGTCAGCTCACAGTACATCACTGGTACACCAAACTTTTCTACAATTGCAGATTCTTACAACAGATAGACACAAAAGGAGCAAGCTTTAATAGGGAGGGCTTAGTTAGAAATGCACTGGTTTTGGAAGGCTTTAGTAGATATGCCTACTGCTCATGTCAAAAAAATTAGGTTTTGGTAATATCCTTAAAGTGTTACTAAACCCACAACAGTAAAATCAGTCTGTATATGCAGTAAAGCATGCTTGTTATACTCACTGTGGAACCTAAGAGGTTAATCCTCTGTATTGTGTAAAAAGGTTCTTTGATCCTGACTTCTCTGCTCCTCCTCTTGTTCAAATGTCCAATCTTATCTCCTGACAAGACAGACTGAACAGTAGCCATAGAAAGGGTTTTTTTTTTCCTTGGGAATGTGCATGTGATCAGTACAGGGACAATCAGCACTGCCCAGACAGAGGTCAGGGGTTCTGCATTCTCCTAGAGCAGAAAGAAAACTCGTCCTACAAGCTTTAACCAGTGCTCTGCTGAAGTGACAAGACTGCTCTAACTGCTGATGAGAAAGGGTATTTAGCAGCTTATATTTACCAAAATAATTGCATTTTAATGTTCTGTTGGAGACTAGATCTAGTGAATGCAGGGTCCTGGGTTTAACAACACTTTAATGTGTAGCATTGTTGCATTTTTGTTCATATGTACTTCTGGTTTGGATTAGGATGCTCTAGCATGTACCACAAAAAGAGCGCACTTGCAGCTGGCAAAATTAATGTTTTCCTCCTAGATCAAAACCAATGATAACCTCTGGTGACCCAAAGGCTGGTGAATAATCTGTTAGGGTGAGGACAGCTCTACATCTTTGTACAAGTAAGTATCTGTTTAGAAAAAGTCAGCAGCTACAGTTTTTAAAGTGATTGAAAAGGCTGACAAAAAATAATAAATGCACTTTTTTTTGCAGGTTAAAAAAGTGCATTTTATTAATTTTTTGTTGCAGGAGCCTGGAAAGCATTGCACCAGTGATCAGCAGATCACTGGTGCCATGCAGGTCTCCTGAAGACCTGTCAGTATAACTGCTTGATCGTACATCCCGTACAGGCAAGTAGATACACTGACAGGAAGAATCAATGAACTACAATGGCGCTCCATAGTGCTGTGGTAGTTCATTGACAACTACAAGCTGACATCTGCAAGGATGTCGGTACTTGTAGTTCATTCATTCACAGAAGTCTGCATGGCTGTGCTGTTTAAAAAGTGACAGCTTGTAGGGGGAACTTCTTCCTGTACTGTTGTTGCAGGGTGGAGGGGGGAGATTGGGCGGAGGCTGCAGCATTGGGAACATGTTACATGTTTCACTCTAAAAATGGGGAGCACATGGAACATATTCCAAAAGGTGAACTTATCCTTTAATGCATTCTCTGCAATAAAGCAGTATTAAGCCCAAAAGCAAACATATTATATTGCAGCTTACCAATTCTTGGATGTGATGGCTGCATTAGTTTACTTTTTAGCCTTTCTTTCTTCTATTTTCATCTGGTGATCCAGCCAATCTGTTGAAAAATCTCTTGCAGTTACAGGGATGAGACAAACCATTTAATGCATTTCAAGGGTGCTTAAAATGATCAGCTTTTATTTCCTTAAGTAACACCTTTATCACAAAAGGAAACAACTGTTTCCTATAATTGATTATAAAGCATTGGCTGGAGTTATTTAAATCTGCTAGTACTGCTAACACTCTGCTCTCCCCAGACTGAGAATGCTGCTGTCCAAAGGTGCCCCCTGTGCTCCTTCATCCAGAGTGGTGTCTGTATAATACAGGGGGTGTGTTGCTGGCCAGATCACTAGTGGAAAAAAGAAGGGAAAAAAACTAAAATAAAACAAAAAAAGAAAATAAATGTAGATACTACATCTAATAATTTGTGAGCTGCAATATATCACATTTTTTGCTTTGGTGGTAATATCACTTTAAGTTAAAGAAAAAACCTTTCATGTTCAGCTCTCCTCCCCAGCCCTAAAATTACTTATCTAAGTCCGATCTTGATCCAGTACTGTACCCCGATGGGACACAGGTGGCAAAAAAATTGACAGAAGTTATGAGGCTCCCTTACTCTATCCAAAATAAAAATATTTTGCCTATAGTTCTACTTTAAATCTTTAAATACACTGTTGGTTGGCCATGGGTTGGGTTCTAAAACTTAGGACTATCAGTAAAGTGTTTTATTATTTCAAGTTTAGTTGAGTGGCATGCACTTATACATTAAGAGGCACTTAGTGTTGGCCTACATATAAATGTCTTAAAATAGTTCTCCAGTCTCCTGTGAAAAAAATAAACTCTAGTTTTCAACCACATCCCCGCCGCCCTATAGCAGATATACTGCTACATGGTGGCAGAGGGGCACAAAATCACATATATATATGTGATTTTGTATTTCCGGGTAGGGGGCGCGTGCGTGCCATGCCCGCTCCTCTATTCGCAGCCGCAGCTGTCAATCACCGGGTCCAGTTATTACCCGCTGGCGCCCGGTGATTACCGAGGATCTCCGACAGGGAGGAGGGCTGCTTTGTTTACTAACAGTCCTCCTCCCTGTTAGCTCTGGCACACTGCTTTGGATAGCTGTGCATCGGCCAGAGGAGATGGCAGGGGACTCTGCAGGAGGGGTTATCGCGGGAGCGCAGGACAAGGTAAGTGAAACAGGGATCCCGGAGCAACGCTGCAGGGTAATCCCGAGTGTAGCTTGGGGTTACTGCTTCTGGTACTGAAAATTAACCCCGAGCTACACTCGGGAATACCTCCAGGGAGGTTAATGATTGGGAATTTTTTGCAAAGTGAAATTTCACCACTTTCACTAAGCCAGGGGTAGTCAACCTTAAAAAGGTGGAGATCTACTTGAACAACATGGGAGAAGTCAAAGAACGCTAGGCACAATGTCATCTGTGTTGCCTTCTCACCCCTGATTTAAATCTCTAATTGCTGTGCTATTGTGTCACAATCGCATACATTGCACAGTAATCATTGGTTTAAATCAGGTGGTGAGGAGGCAACATACAGTGGATATAAAGTCTACACACCCCTGTTAAAATATCAGGTTTCTGTGATGTAAAAAAATTAGACAAAGATAAATCATTTCAGAACTTTTTCCACCTTTAATGTAACCTGTAAACTGTACAACTCAGTTGAATAACAAACTGAAATCTTTTAGGAGGAGGGAAGTAAAAAATAAAAAAATAAAATAATATGGTTGCATAAGTGTGCACACCCTTAAAACTAATACTTTGTTGAAGCACATTTTGATGTTATTTCAGCATTCAGTCTTTTTGGGGTATGATCAGCATGGCACATCTTGACTTGGCAATATTTGCCCACTCTTCCTTGCAAAAACTTTCCAAATCTGATGCACAGCACAGCCATCCAGAGCAGTGTGCTTGCAGTGAAGCACCAACAAACCGCCCCCAGTAAAATACTCCCAGCACACAGTTAACCCTTTAATTGCCCCTCATGTTAACCCCTTCCTGCCAAGTGTCGTTAGTACAGTGTCAGTGCTTTTTTTAGCACTGATCACTGTATTGGTGTCACTGGGGATGTCAGTGACACCAAGTCAGTTCCCCCCAGTGTCAGAATGGCTGCTGTAGTCCCCCTATAAGTAGCTGATCGCTGCCATTACTAGTAATTAAAAAAAATTGCAGTCTCTATACTGCCATTTGTAAACTTTAACTTTCAAGTAAACCAATTAATTTACACGTATTGGGATTTTTTTTTTTTTTTTAGCAAAGACATGTAACAGAATACATTTTGGCCTAAATTTATGACAAAATTTTAACATTTTTTTACTGAACATGTTTAATAGCAAAAAGTAAAAAATATTGTTTTTTTCTCAAAATTGTTGGCCTTTTTTTTTTTATAGTGCAAAAAATAAAAAAAAAGCACAGGCGATCAAATACCACCAAAAGAAAGCTCAATTCGTGGGAAAAAAGGATGTAAATTTTATTTGGGTGCAGCGTTGCATGACCCCGCAATTGTCAAAGTAACGCAGCGCCTTAACGCAAAAAATGGCCTGGTGAGGAGGGGGGGGGGGGGGGGGGGAAATCCTCAGGAGGGCTAGTGGTTAAAAGACTTTTAAAAATACAGCCAATCACCTGTCCCACAATCCAATAGTGTGCTCATCCTAGCCGTGTTCACCTTCTGTCTTCTGTCCCCAGCGCCGGCAACTTAAATGTGGGCGCCGGCTGTGACAGCTTGCAGCTTCACAGCCGGATGCCCACTGAGCATGCGCAAGCAGTTCTGCACATTGTGAATGGTTCTGCAATCTTCTGGGACCTGTCACATGTTCCAGAAGACTGGGGAGGGAGGGGAGACGAGAACTTCCTCTTCCAATCGCCTAGGCAGGTGGACTGGAAGTGGGAATGGATACCTGTCAAAATCGGGTACCCTCCCACCCCCCCGACACTCACCAAAGGTGCCATTTCTTCACAGGGAGCAGTGAACGAGTCCTTAAAGCGGAGCTCTACCTAAGAGGGGAAGTTCCGCTTTAAGGACTGCTTCCCCACTCCCCATTAAGGATTGTGTCCTCCCTTCCTGTAGTCTTTTGGGGCACATGACAGGTCCCAGAAGACTACAGGACTATTCATGAAGCACAGCGCTTTTTGTGCATGCGCAGTGGGTACCCGGCTGTGAAACTGCAAGCCATCACAGCCAGGTGCCCAAACTGAAGATGCCTGCCTCCTGGAATCCAGGACGGCTGGTAAAATGGGCTGCGGGGGGACACACCGCTGGACCGAGGGACAGGTAAGTGGCTATTTTTAAAAGTCAGCAGCTACAGTTTTTGTAGATGCTGACTTTTATTTTTTGACAGGGTGAGTGGAACTCCACTTTAAAGCGGAACTTCCTCTTTTGGGTGGAGCTCTGCTTTAAATAACCTGCATGTTTAATTGTTTTAGAAGTGTATAGAACAGACTTTTGTACATTTATATACAATATGTGTGTGTATATATTTGGGTATAGATACTGTTTTTGAAAATGTGCTATTATGGAGTAACTTTCCAACCAGCAAGCACAGAAAATATCAACTGCAGAAATTATGAACTGTAAGGAGTCATTTGGTGATTTAACCTGTCCATGTCTACATAAGACTAATATTCCTATTTTGGGTGAACCTGTCTGATTATATATAATATATATATATAATTATGATTATAAAGTCATTATTCACTTTTTGACTTTCTACCCTCAAGGTTCACCCTTTTCTTTGAGTAAACCAACATTATTCTCATAGGAATTAGACACCTGGAATTATGAAAGAAATTGAAATGCCACCTGGGAAATCGCATGATAACTAAAGCAAATAGCAAGGAAACGACAGAAATATGTAGATGACAGGATCCAGTAGCAACCAACTAGAGTTCAACTTTACTTGATCTTAGCTGAAATCTTGTTAATCAAGCTTAATAATAACTTCAGCATAAGCAGGGCGGAAATCTATTGACATTCTGTTACAGAAAAATACTCAAGATCTTTTAGTCTCTTCAGTTTCATTCTGTGACCAGCAAAGGTTTCATTTTATCGTATACCAATTATATTTTTCTGTTTGCACAGCAGTACCATTAATCAGATTCATGTCACTTTTACTCCATGACCTAATTTTCCCTGAAATACATTTTATAATGTAAAGAGTGGTGTTGGTTGAGGTGCTTAAGACGACACATTGGCACAGACTAAAAAAAAAAAAAGTGCTAATGAAAATGATTTTATCTCTTATCTTTTAAATTACATTCAATGCTTTCAGAAGATAGAGTTGTTGTTTTGTCTAGCAAATGCTTGGAATGCAGTATATTTTTACAGTTGAAAAAGGAAAAAGTATTAGATAATACTTCTGGTACAGTATTATAGCTAGATCAATTTATGTGCCCTATTTATCCTGCTCTTGCAATCTTCTTTCAACCTTGCCTTTTTTTTTTTTAAAGTAGTATGAAACCATTCGTGTTATTTAGCTGACATTGAGAACAAATCAAACATTCCTAGTAAACTTGTAAGCCGGTTGCATTTTAGCCTAATATGTTGCTGCCACGGACAGGAAGGTTAAGGGTTAACTGTATTTCCCAGGTCTTTTGCTTAGGGGGCTTTTGGGTCTGTCCCACTGGTCCTGTGCTTATAAAATGGGACAGTGGTCCGGAGCCAGATTTCTTTGGTGTGCAGAATGGGAGATTGTCACCCATAGATCTGCTGAAGGAACCTTCCATCATGTAGGGGGGACCACTGCGACCTGTGGTCCTCGCCAAAGACACCAACTGCTGGACTCCTCCAATATCTATGGACTTTGCCAATACCTATGGACACTACCTTTGCAGGTATTTCAGGGCAGCACACAAGCTTGAGTTAGGGTTTAGGGACATAGGGGAAATACTGTTTTGTTTTCTCTATGAGAATCTGTTCAGTAAAGCTTTCAAAAGTTTCCTTCTGCTTGGTCTGAAGTTATTAACCACTTCCAGTCCGGACACTTTTACCCCCTTCCTGTCCAGGCCAATTTTCAGCTTTCAGCGCTATCACACTTTGAATGACAATTGCGCGGTCATGCAACACTGTACCCATATGAATTTTTTAATTTTTTAAAGACAGATAAAGATTTATTTTGGTGGTATTTATTCACCACTGGGATTTTTATATTTTTTGCTATATAAATGAAAAAGTCCAAAAATTTAGAAAAAAAAAGTGTTTTTCTAATAAAATTTTGCAAATAAATAATATTTCATCATAAATCTTGTCATTTTTTTTTTTTATTATTATTTATGTTTTTTTCTCTACATACTGTCACCCTACCAGTACAGTGTCACCATGGTGACACTGCACAACTTGTGGGGGGGGGGGGGGGTGATGAAGATTTTTTTTTTTTTTTTTTTTTACACTGATCGCTTTTATACCCATAAAGGCTGTAAAAGCAATCATTTCTCCTTCTCTCTGGCTGCATTCATGCAGCCATTGAGAACTAATGTGTGAGCTGTGATTGGTCACAGCTTGCCACATGGTACAAGGCTGTTGTGAATAGCTTTGTACCATTTGACCTCTGTGATCATTCACAGATTTCACATGTAGTAAGCAATGATGTCAGAAGTGACATCTTGCTTACTACTCTGCATGTGATCACTGATTGGCCAATCAGTGATCACATGATTGGGACCTCGCACAGAGGTCCCGTACGATGATCGGTATTCCACTGTGTCCCAGGGAGCATGCACAGTCCATAATGGCGGGCGCCGTTTATGAACGGCAACCTGCCCCTGGACTGCCACTGGCAGCGGCTGGACGGGAAGTGGTTTTAAAGGAGTATAATGCAAGTGACCAACACCACACATAAGGATTCATTTGCTAAAAGAGGAGAGTGCAAAACCGTGTACAGCTGTGCCAGATTTTGCACTTTTCAATTCTAGTAAATCAACCCCATAGTCTCCTGCTTGTGTCAATAGCACATTGGGGTATGAAGACAGTAAGTGGTAACTAAGGGTAATGGAAGCCAGCTGTCAGTCAATATGCCTGTCGCTAAGCATGTACATATGCCAGATGGGACAGTCTCTAGCAGCAAGCAAGATGTTGTTGACACTCTTTTCACCAGCAATCCATCTCCCATAGCAGCAGTAGCAGACTTGCACCTAAGAGGTCCCTATGCTGTGGCGAAGTATGGGAGATCAAGAGTTAAGTCAAGTGAACGCATGGTGCCCGCGTTAGGTGCACAGTTCCATTCTGCTACTGGGAGAGAGGTAGTGAAGAACGCCGGACAGGTGGAAGTGGACATAGTCTTAGTGTGTCCCTCCAAATTGCATTAAACTACAGTGAAGGTGTACACTGACATGGGGACCGTTATGGTGCAAGTGTACACAGTGTCCGTTGATCTCTTAGAATAGAGGCCTTAAGGTTGAGTAATCCTCCACAGCAGCCTCAGCCTTGTCCCAGGGCATTGATGGAAATGGCACAGATAAAGGTACCCCATGTGTAAGAGAGGATGACCCTGTTAGAGGTGTCTACATATCCCTGAAGAAACTACCCTGGGGGCAGTCCTCTTATGTGAACCAGACTTGGCGCCCAATGGGTAAATCATCATCATCACATGCCACCCCTACAAGCTGGGGCTCTTTTAAACAGGATTTAAGTCTAGATCTGTCAGTCAGTTTTTCAGATGGATCCAGACTGAACCACAATGTACGTCTATAGGTGTATCTGTGTCAAGTCAGGTCCATTTTTTAATACGAACAAGGCTGCATCCTTTTCCGTCTAGATGGACCTAAATGGATGTAAACGGATAAACAAATGCTGTCCATTTACATCTGCTCCGTTTATATCTGTTTGAGCAAGAACCTTTTTTCATATGGAAAGAAAAACTCTGACTTTTAGATGCAAATTTTGTGCATGAAAGAAAGATCCAACGTAAAATATGAGCCTAAAGTACTTGCAGTTATGTGCGATCATATGGATTTGAGTAAAATCTGTAGATCTATGTGCGTAAATTCTGTAGCTGTGTCCTGTGTTTTTTTTTTTTTTTGTGCACAACGAAATGCAGTGCACATTTTTCATATGTAAACACAGCTGTGTATATGGGCTTATTTGGGACGCACAGTGGCTAAATGATTAGCAGTTCTGTCTAGCAGCACTAGGAGTGTCAGTTCAAATCCCAACCAAGGCACCACTTGCCTGGAGTTTGCATGTTCTCCCTGTCCTGCGTGGGTTTCCTCCGTGGTACTCTGGTTTTCTCCCACACTCCAAAGACATGCTGGTAGGTTAATTGGCTGCTGTCTAAATTGGCATTAGTATGTGTATTTATGAATCAAAACAATCTGCTGTATGCATCTAAAAGGAACATTTTTTCCTGTCTGTGTATTTGAGCCCTTAGCATCAACATATTAGGCATAGCCCTATTGGATAACACAATAAATAAACAAAATAAAGATACTACTGCTTTTAGATTAGTTAGGCTGCCCCAAAAGTACTTAATAAGACCCTTGCGTTTTTGGATGTCATTGCAAGTATCTCTGATGGTGGCTCAGGTGGTAAATCACCAGGCGCAACAGGATGAGTTCATGACTTCATCCTGGACCTGCAGGTGATAAATTTGTAGCACTCACTCCCGCAAGGGCTGTTGGATTCCACAGCTTTTTCCCCAAAGTCAATACAGAGGCAGCCAGGCACACAACAACAGTCCATTCACTCCGGCTCAGAAATCAATCTAGAAGATGTCTTTTTGTAATTTATTCCTGAATGAACTTAGAGAGGGTACAGGGTGATATGGGATACTCCAAACATTAATCACAACTTGTTGAGGACACTGATTCCTAGAGGACACAAGCTCAGTCTATTTTCACTCCCAGCTGTAGGCCAGGAGAATATTAGGACTTTAAAGAACAGGTAGTAGACAGGAAAAGTCCAGGACTTTGACAGCTGATGACCACAGGATAAAGGAGTGCACACTTAGCATACTGGAGCAGTCTATTATAGCCATAGCTGGGTATCATAGATAAAACTGTGGCCCAGAAGATGCAGCTCTACTCACGAGTCCCAGTAGGTACCAGGCCATTGGCTTGTTCTAGGGGGAAATGTGTAGTTCAGTAACCAGTCCAACAAAGCCTCAGGGCTTAACAGCCCCCTAAAGGTACATGATCCTATTCTCCTCCTCTGGGGGAAGAACCACACCATTCCACATCCTACCAGGTGAAGAATAATGCAGACCATACATGGTTCGAATTCCAAACGATTTTTTGTCTGAAAATCGAAAACGTCGTTCCCCCCTCGGTAATCTGATGGTGCCATCAATGATTTCGAAAATCGGCCTACCAAGTCATAAAGTTCACCCCATATAACAGGTGAAACTTCTGTTCCTTCCAGGTCACGGCTCATGCGCATATTCTTTTCGGAAAAATTATCGTACAATTTGACCATCATTGAGTCAAAAATCGGTAGTTTTTCACAAATTTTCCAACATGCCCGATCACCGAAAACGGGAGGAACCATGAAAATCGGCTGGTGCCATTGACCCACTAACAGGGCAAAAATCGGCCGATTATTCTTAGGTCCAATTTTCAGATGAAAAATCTGACGAATTCGGACCCATGTATGGCCGTCCTAAGTCTAAACAGGTTTCAGCTTATTTATTCCCCTCTCTCTGGTCACCTACAAGGTGGGGATTAGCCACAGGGTAGTAAATACTGTATATAGGTAGAAGATTTTCATTTCCCTCCCTAAACCCTATACGTTTCTCAACAGACACAGGGGAAAATATTTAGTTTTGCCATCTGAAAACCCACGAACAATCCAAACAATCGACCACTGCTCCACTGATTACAAAGGAGTGATACAGAAATTAAAAAGGAAATGGTTCTACCAGACTTATGTCTTAGAATATGTGAATGAGGGGAGGAGAGCTCACTACAATATCCAATGTCAAAAATATTTTGCACATAAAAATTGCTTTGGCTCAACATCTCAAACTCAAAATATTTGGAATATCAAGAGAAAAATCTAATTTGTGATGAAAACCTTCCAGCCCGGCCTATAGCAGATTGATGGCCAGGTGGGACACTTGCTGTTGTGACTGGGCATTATATGACATCCTGTCAAAACGAGCCTCTCAGTGGCGCGATTTGTCACCGGCTGTGTCTACGGACACAGCCAATGACATATCACTACACTAGACCGTTGTAAGTGTCATGTGACCTTTGTGACCAATCACAGCAAATCACATGTCATCCATTCATGCCATCCATTGTATACAATTATGTGTTAGCTGTGACTGGTCAAGGCAGTCACATGATACAGACAGGGCCAATCACAGCCCATCTGTATCATGTGATCAGCTTTGCCCAATCACAGCTAATCACAACTAAAGACTGAATGAATCAGTTTCATTCAGTAACAATGATTACAAATATCAATGAAATACATTGGTATTAGCAATCATAATGTGTTAAAAAAAAAAAATCCTGATCACTTGCCCAGAGTAGTTCAATGTTACTATGGTAACATTGTATTGCTTTGGTCACAGTGTACTGAAAAATAAAATAGTAAAAAAAAGAAAAAATGTAATAATAATAAAAAAAAAAAATAATAGAAATATTTGAAAAAAAAATAAAAATTCAATTATTATTATTATTTGCACCAAATAAATGTAGCAGAATACATTTGGACCTAAATTTATGAAGAAATGTTATTTATTTGCAAAATTATATAACAGAAACAAAGAAAAGTGCATAATTACACTGTACTATTTGCGGGGGGTGATGAAGATTTTTTTTTCTTTTTCTACACTGGTTGCTTTTACACCCATAAAGGCTGAAAAAGCGCAATCATTTCTCCTTCTCTCTGGCTGCATTCTTGGAGCCATTGTCACATGGTACAAGGCTGTTGTGAATAGCCTTGTACCATGTGACCTCTGTGATCATTCACATATTTCACATGTAGTAAGCAATGATGTCAGTAGTGACACCTTGCTTACTACTCTGCATGTGATCACTGATTGGCCAATCAGTGATCACATGATCGGGACCTCGCACAGCGGTCCCGTATGACGATCGGTGTTCCACTGTTCCACAGCGGGCACTGGATCACGGTGTTGCGCGCTCTCAGGGAGCACGCACAGTCCATAATGGCGTAAGCAATGATGTCAGGAAGTGACATCTTGTTTACTACTGTTCCTGTGATCACTGATTGGCCAATCAGTGATCACATGATCATGACCTCACACAGAGGTACAACGATCGCTGTGTCCGAAAGGCAATGGATCGCAGTGCCGCGCGCTCCCAGGGAGCACGCACAGGCAGTGAATGTGGAGACCGTTTATAAATGACCACCCGCTTAGGCACTGCTCCCGTCCGGCCATTTATGTACATGGGCCGGACGGGAAGACATAGAGGGTAAAGAAATATAGGAAAAAGAGTGGCCACAAAAAATGCAGCTTCTGTATTGATGTATCTCCCCCCTGTCTGTTGTTCATCTTGTGTATACTGGATAGACCATGAGGATCCCAGATGTAATAAAGATCAAGGAATGAACTGATGGATCAAGAAATGACCAAGTAATAGTTTCACTGGATCAGTTGCATTAAGGACATCCTTAATGAATTTGTATGGTTATAAAGTGTCCCGATCAGGAAAGGAGCAGCTGAATGTAATCCAGAGGAGGAAAATGGAATATCAACACTGCCTATGGATCTGGATTCACTTTTACAGTATATATATATATATACAGTGAAGGAAATAAGCATTTGATCCCCTGCTGATTTTGAATGTTTGCCCACTCACAAAGAAATGATCAGTCTAAAAATCAAATGGTAGGTGTATTGTAACTCTGAGAGACAGAATAGCAACAAAAAATTCAAAAGAAATGCATGTCTAACAAATTATGCACTGATTTGCATGTTCATGAGGGAAATAAGTATTTGATCCCCTATCATTCAGCAGGATTTCTGGCTACCAGGTGTCTTTCATACAGGTAACAAGCTGAAATTAGAAGCAGTCTCTTTAAGGGTGTGCTGCTAATCTCATTTTGCTACCCGTATAAAAGACACCTGTCCACAGGAGCAATCAAACAATCAGATTCCAAACTCTCCACCATGTCAAAGACCAAAGAGCTGTCCAAGGATGTCAGGGACAAGATTGTAGACCTACACGAGGCTGGACTGGGCTACAAAACTATTGCCAAGCAGCTTGGTGAGAAGGTGACAACAGTTGGTGCAATCATTCGCAAATGGAAGAAACACAAAACAACTGTCAGTCTCCCTAGGTCTGGTGCACCATGCAAGATCTCACTTCGTGGCGTGTCAATGATCATGAGAACAGTGAGGAATCATCTCAGAACTACACGTGAGGATCTTGTCAATGATCTCCAGCTGGGACCACTGTTTTCAAAAAGTGACAGTTAGTACAGGGAACTTCTCCCTGTACTGCTGCCACAGGGAGGGGGGGGATTGAGCAGTGGCTGCAGTAGTGGCAACATGTTCCACTCTAGAAACTTTGATAACGGACTAGGGAAGGAAGGGGTGGTGGGTGAATGTAGTTTTAAGTGTATGGAGGCACCCAGAGAGAGGAATGAAACTGGATAGGCAGTGCTGGGGGGAGGAGTGGGGTAACATAGAGGGGTTGAGTGGGGCAGGGATGGAGAGGAGAGCAAGGTCACTTAGGGAATACAGTTCAGGCAATAAGGAGGATTAGTGACAAAGGGTGCATTGGGTTACAGCTGGGTGTACATTTTCACCAAATTACCTTGTCTGGATAGAGGGCCAGGGAGTAAAAGGGATGAAATAAAGGTTTGTGGGACCTGAATGGGAAAAGTATCCAGAAGGGTGTTGAGGAAGGGGAGCTGTGGGAGGTGAAGACAGACATGGGGGCTGTAGGGAATGAACCAAATTGGATAAAGGCCTGACAGAGGATAGAGGTAAGAAAGAGCTGAGCTGGATGGAAGGTGTCAGATGTGGGTGCAGCCTGATAGGGGGATTTAAAGGGCAAGGAAGCTGGGGTGTGTAGAGTTCTGGGGTGCAGGCTGTGGTGAGTGAAGATACACATTTAGCTGCATATTTTCTGCATGAAGGAGTAACCTGAATCCGTATTGATCAGTTTTTTCTTAGCAAACCATTACCCCTTAATAAGTAGTTTACAACTTTCATTGATGCTGGCTTTTGCTCTTTCTTAGACAAATGAAAAATCTGCAATGAACCTGTTTATTATTGCAGAGCACCACAACACACAGCATCTGCTGCAGTACAGTAGTATACTGCCACCAAAAAGGTATGCAGCAAATGCATTAACATGCTTTACTGTGTCATATAGTGACATGGAGGTCAGTGGGAAGAACATTTGAGCACAGAAGTGGAAATTTAGGGTTTAAATCGGTATTAAGCTCAATCCCAAAAATGTAATATATTACAGCTTACCACTCGCATACCAACAGGCATCGCAATTGCTCATGTCATTTTACACCTGGATAAGAGGGGTGGTGGGGGTGGCATAGACAGAAACCAGTTCTCTCCATGTTCCTCCTGCAGCTTCTCCTTCTCCCCCTCCCCCCTGCATTCAGCCACTACAAGATGAAAATGGAGGGGATCAATTTCTGTATATGCTGCTTCTCCTGTCCAGGTTACTCATCTCTGCTGGCCTCTCAGGGATTCCCCCCATCCTCTCCTGCCAGCTGCTGTGGGAAATGTTTCAGGATGAAGAGCAAGGGAAAGGGCCAGCAAATATGTAATTTACAGGCCCCTTCTTTTTCTGAAAGAAACACAGAGAGTGATTAGTACCAATCACTCACTGTGTTTATTCATAACTGAAGCATAGTAAACTGTGTTTGTTATGCTTCATTTTATGAATAAACATGAAGCTCTGTACAGAGCTATTCCTGTCCATTCACTCTGTGCTGCAGAGATGGAGATTATGGGCTGTGTCCTCGATCCCCTTTCTCTGTCTCAAAAGTGAGACTTTGGGGGTTTGTTTAGATCCCTGATATTTTACCAAAGCATCATGGCTTCACATTTTACATCAGTGTTATCACTTTAAACTGAATAAGTGGCAATTTAAAGCCCTTATATGCATTTTATTTGTTGAAATAAAGAAATTCGATTTACCTTTTTAAAAAATTGTATCTATAGATTTTGTGATCACAATTCCACCTTGTACGGAGTGGCTGGCAGGGTGGTTCTGTACTAGCTGAAACGGCATGAGAGCAAGGTTAGAGCTGCAATCTGCTGGGAGGGGAGTGTGGTTGCAGAACAGACTATGGAAGATACAGGTAATCTGTGGGATGTAAACTACTTATGGCACGTGGTCAGTTTAGTACAAGGAAGAAGGGGGACTAGTAGGATCAACCTGGTCAGCCCCCCGAAGAGACCAGTGCTGACTGTATGTAGCTACTACAGGGAATTTTTGCATTCCCAGTAGCCCTCCAGATGTGAAGAATTA